GTCCTCGTCACTAGGGAATGATACTCGTTGTCATTCAGAGTCACGAGATAATTACATCCTACATACAAGCCATCACAAATCATACATAGCACTATCACAAACCAACGAAACAACATTAACATTCACCTGCCCGTCCCCGTCCTCTCTAAGAGTGTAGCTCTCCTCCACCCTGTTGGCGCTGCCTCGTCTGCTGCTGCCGCTGCTGTGGCCGTCCCCGTTTCTCCTGCCGCAATCCCTCCTTTGCTGCTGCGGCTTCTCCCGTTTTAGAACGAAAATAAACACAGAAAAGCAAATGAGGGAACCTCGACACGTTAGAGAAGAGACAATTGCCTTGTCGAGTAAAAGGAGACCAGAAACACTTAACACATGGTATTTCAGAGTATATCAATTCAACGCCTCCCCTGAAAAAACTACGCTAGGTCAAACCAGCGCGTGTTCCGTGGAATTGGAAACAATCACCTTATGGTAAAAAAAAAAGAAAGGACACGGAACCTCCCCTCCACCCAAAAACACGCGGCGAAGTAGGCCAATCACCAGTAACGCACCATTCGTCCTCCACCCAAGAAAGCAGACAATACCAAACACTCGAAAGAGCTCCACTTCAACAGCTCCCCTGTACAAACAATATTTTGCCAGGCAGATGCGACCACTTCCGGGGAGCAAAAAAGCCAACCAAAGACACCCACCTTTTGTTTAGCCGGTGCGAGATTCGTCATGGGCTATCGTCCGTGTCTGGGTCCACTGTCACCACCGGCGCGGGCGCCGCCGCCCCGCCCGTGCTCGCTCCCAGTTCCATCATGTCAAACGGCGGGTCCCCTTTGTCGCCGACGCCCCTGCCGGTGGTCGCGGACAGGCTCGACCTCCCCGCCCTCGAGGCGGACAAGTACCGGCTGCTGAAGCTGCCGCTGCTGCGGTTTGTCGCGTCCGAGGTTTCCTGATCGCGGCGACGGCGACGGTGACGGTGAACGTGACGGAGTTGTTCTTGGAGTTAGCATTTTATTGCAGGGGGGGGAAGCGCTCGATTGCTGCGAGCCGCAGTAGATGCACCGACCCCGATCGTGGTTGTGCATGTTATTTGCAGGTTGAGACGTTCATTAAGTTGTGTGCAGCTATGAGCAAGCCAAGACAACTTTCTTGCGGAAAAAATCGAAGGACGAACAAAGAAAAAGGGGGGGGGGAGGTTGGAAGATGAACAAGCAGCTTCTTTCACACGCCACTTCAGGTGGCGCCCGAAGGAAGTGCAGGAGCAGCACTCTTAGCACCCTTGTATTTATGACGCAAAATGTATCCGCCGTTGATCCATGAGGCGCGAGCTTGAGGGTTCGGCATCCAACTACACAATCCAACAACTGACTTTATCTATCTCCTAAACAACAAGTCGCACGACTACAAAGATATCCTGTTTGCTTCCTGCGCCGGCTTCGCTACTGCTGCTGCTTAAATAGCTACTGTTGCTGCTGCCTCGACCATGTAAATATTGATGTTACGGTAGTAGTCTACGTGCGTGGAGCAGGTTGTGAAAAAACTGCTTTTGTACACGTACTACTGCTGTCGGTGGCGGCTGTGGGCGTGACGCACAACAAATATCCCTCGCCGGCATGAATATATGCTCGCCAGCGGAAAAAGCAACCAGAAGCAAGCCAGTAAGTCGTCTTGTGGAGGCGCAAGCTTCTTCAGCACAAGCTGCCGGACGAGCTTCAACGCTATTACGCTTTCTTGCCCAAAGATATGCATAGAGCATCGAGAGAGACAGCAGTTCCGAAGCAAACGCCTATTTTTATTTTTTATTAATAGCCCGCGTAGATAACACAACGCGGTGTTTCAGTGTCGGAGCCTCGCCGTCGGTAGCGGGACACATTTCTTTTGTACTAGAATTGAAGCTGATACTTCGGTTAAAGTCGGTAGCGGGACACATTTGAAAAGGGGCACAAGAGGGGCACACATCACCTGCGATCTTGGCAACACACAGCAGACACAGCACACCCGGCACCCAGCACATAGCACACAGAGAAGGAGGGGTGTGTGGGACATGGAAGCAACACGCCCTCGCTGCTGCTGCTGCTGCTGCTGTAGCGATCTATGTAGCTGCCAGGAAAGAAGCGGCTTGATGATGCATGATGGTCAGACGCAAACAAGCAATGTGCGGTTGGCGCACTGACGCAGTGGCACCATTTTACACTCCACTCTAGCAACTGCTGCTGTTCTTTTGTGTATGGTGGTCTGGTGTGGTGCAGAATGACTGGGTGAGACCGAGATCATGCAGGTCAGACAGAGANCAGACACAGCACACCCGGCACCCAGCACATAGCACACAGAGAAGGAGGGAAGTGTGGGACATGGAAGCAACACGCCCTCGCTGCTGCTGCTGCTGCTGCTGTAGCGATCTATGTAGCTGCCAGGAAAGAAGCGGCTTGATGATGCATGATGGTCAGACGCAAACAAGCAATGTGCGGTTGGCGCACTGACGCAGTGGCACCATTTTACACTCCACTCTAGCAACTGCTGCTGTTCTTTTGTGTATGGTGGTCTGGTGTGGTGCAGAATGACTGGGTGAGACCGAGATCAGGCAGGTCAGACAGAGATGTGGGATCTGATGCTCGATATTTGCCTTTGAGAATATTAATGTGTACAGCAGAAGCAGCAGCAGCAAACAGGCGGGATCTTTCACTGCACACATCATCACAGGCGCGGATTTGAAGGCGGCACCACTTCTCTCGACATGTTGGTTGCTCGAATCACCGCTGTGGTGCTGCTTGCTGCACTTGGCTGCCGCTGGCCTCCTGTTGAACCGATGGCGTGCTTGTTGTTTAGTGTTGAAACGCTACATACAGCAGTGTACGTGCAGTACAGATAGACACATGACGATGGTTTTTTTGACAAGTGCTGCTTGTGCGCTGCAAAACAGCACCGAGAGTGGAAAAAAGGGGACAATCGATCAGAGCGCAGACATATCTAGGTAATCTCCTGCTCACTCTACATCATCTGCAGCAACTCGCGAGAAAGGCCAACTGCTGTATCTACGAAGACTTCCTTTTTTTTTTCTTTTTTTTCCAGGCGCCGCCAGAAAAAATCGCTACACAAACAAGGTAGCCCAGGTTTGCCCAGGTGGACCTACCCATGGCACCGCACCTGATGGTCTGGCTAGCATGAATTCAGGACTGCGCTGGTCTGCAAGCTTTGGCCAGATGAATAAATAGTGCAGGCGCATAGTGCATGTGACAAGCTGTGATGTTGAGCACGTGGGCCCCTCCTCGTCGTACGATCACTCGACAAGCTCGGTTGTCTCAAAACAGGAGCAAGCCACACACCCTCCCCCGCGGAGAATGAAGCAAGCCCCAAGCAATGACACCCACGGATCACCAAAACACGCCTCGCACAAGGCCTTCTCGGCCCATTTCATCCCTCTATTATACTGCCATTCACATTCCGGCACTTACCTCGAACAAGCCGCGCGATCGTCAGGAGGAGATGGTCCTCTCTCTGTCTCGTCCAGGCCATGGCTTTTTCCAGGTCCCTTGTTGTCAGAGCCTTGCTCGGACAAACCAAGCAGGATGGCACGCATTACTCGGATCATGATGCTGTGGTGTGTGGACGCCGATGTACAGTGGCAGCGGTCTGCGGAGGCTGGTGCTCATCGCTCATAGTGCATATGTGCGTGCCGGGGTGCGTGTTTGAGCCAACGGCAGAAGCAGGCAGGAAGCCAAAAAAAACAACGGCCAAAGGGGGCTCGTGTCTGAATCGGGACACCCCGTGTTGGAGCCCCGACTCCCCCGACCGCCTTTTGGCCATTTGCTGTGCCCATGCACGGCGCCTTCCTCCGCGCACACCTGCTGCCTGCGCTTCCTCTTTGTGTACAGCGGGCACGGGCGAGGAGCCATCCTCGGGCTGGGTCTCGCAGCAGCACCGCAGCATGTGCGCTGGAAAGTTTACGCGCTGATTGGTGCAGCCCGTGGCCTCTGTCGTGGCGGATTTTTTTTGTTTTGTGCTCTCTGTGCTGCTGTCATGGAGCCAGCCACAGCCATGCTGCCAAAAGTGCTGGTTGTGATATTTTTCAGCTGATATTTTTCTTCCCCAGAGCAACAGACATCATGCCCAAATAGAGGACATTTAGAAACCAACACCCTCCGGAGGAACAACCCGCCGGAAGAACCCTCCCGAAGATTGTTACGGCGGTACCCCGCGAGCATTGCAGGTGCTTTCATCCACCTAATACATACCTTGTCCAGCAGTAACCTCTTGAGTAACTTATAGACCAGCGCCACCTTCCGGAGGAATGCATGTCAGATACATCTGGAGGAATACTTTAGGGCTTTTTCCCCAGGAGGAAATTTACACTACTGTTACGCCTCGACGAAGCAAGGATGGCTTCCTCCGAGGGGAAATCGTAATCCAGTCAACTCCAGCGGGTTCAAATTTCAAGTTCCCCCTGGAGGATTGTTAAGTGTTGCCCTCCGAGGAACTGTTCGACATTTTTCCTCTGGGGCAACCTGTTCTTTACGTGATGCTCTGGAGGATGCCGAATCTGCTCCCTCTGAGGAAATCGTGGTTTGAGATCCTCGGAGGACACCAATTGCTTACCCTCCGAGAAATACGTCAGATATCTAACCCCCAGAGTAACGTTTCTCAGGCAATGCTCTGGAGGATGCTGTATATCGTACCCTCGGGAGGATTTTTCGTTTGATATCCTCGGAAGAGGCCGATTGTCTCCCCTCCGAGCTTTGTTGAGGTTTTTCCCTCGGAGCATATCGTGCACAAATCCTCTAGAGGGNCTGTTTCGTTTCGCTGAACACGTCGACTCTGATGTGCTGTTGGCGTCCGTCAACAAGAAAGGGAATGGTGTGAAGACAACAAGACACACAGACTGAGATCGTCTCGAAAACTACGAAAAAAACTGCTGAAAAACACTTTGCGCAGCGGCAGTGGTGGATCCCAATCTAAACTCGACTGTTCAATAATTTGAGCTCGACGGTGCCAAAATTAGACGAAATTGAACCTCGACCCGAAATTGATTTCTCTTTTCTCTGAGCACACGTTTCACGCATTGCGTTCGACGAGGGTTCGTGTATGGCCGCTATTTTCTTATGGAAGTAGACTATACAGTTATTACGTGTGCATGAATCGCTTCGTTGCCAAGGCTACAACTGAATACATACATACCTGGTTACATGAATAGTCTAAGCACGAAAAATGAAGCTAGCTCTTGCAATTTTACCGTACGACATGGATTTTCGGATTCCAGCCAGCAGTTGTTGAGGGCATGCCTAAACTCTTTCGTCCCGATAATCTGAGAGTCTGTGTAAAGTACGTTCCCAGAAGGCGCCGGATCCAATGCTGCGTCTACGGAACTGCATGAAAGGCCCAACGCGGCAGACTCGAAAATGCAAGAACTGTCTACGTGAAAATTTATTTTAGTCAATGGAGAAAATCTGGGCACGGGAGAAGGGCATCCACATATATATGTTGTACCAGCATCATGCACTTTGTAGTCTAGTCCACGAATCAGTGAACTCGTCGTCGTGAGCTACCGTCAGGCATCAATGAAAAATTGTGATTACCGTAGGCCTTGTACTGCAGTGGCTCATTCGCCCTCCTACGTTCCCGATAAGACGGCAGCAGCAAAGTATAGATATCAGTGGAACTGCGGATAGGGATCGGCGTTTATATACAGACTACTCTGCGTCTGCAGCTAGTATCTCTCTCAGTCTCGTAGCACTGCAATATTGGGTTGGGGGTGCTTCTGCAGGGTGCGTACACGTACAAGCGATGGGGGCAGAAACGCTGTCTTACCAATGCTTCGCGGTGGATGAGGTAGCGTGGATAGTAAGATGAGCACCGTGTGAGGCGTTCCGGGACTGTACATCACAGGGCGTCATCAAACACATGACGACATGATAGGGATGCACATGTACTTGCAGTCGAAAGGCAACACCGCGGGATGCGCACCCCAACCACACGCCTCTATCGGCGGCCACGTCAGGAGGCAATGATGAAAATCTCCCAACATAACATACAGATAGATACACAAGACGGCTACCAAACTGCTTTGTTGAGCCTGTTACCCACAGGGGAGATATCGTTGTATGCTGTCGGGAAACCGTAGACATACAGGTAGCCTTTCGCTCACGGTATGGATTCATTGCTAGTCTATCTTAGACTTATTTCTTTAGATGGAGATGGATTTGTTGTGTGATATTAAGTAAAAAAAAAAAAACTGCACATCACAAACTGGTTCTGGGTTCAGTTGAGTGTGATGACTTTGAGATCGGAAGGATGGCGACATGGCAACATCCTGGGTATCTGACGCGACTACAGCTGCGTGCGATATCGGACCAAATTTGATCGGACCACGATGAGGGAAACCTACGAGGCAAGGGCTGCAGGCCTTTCTGCCGCACACTACGGACGTCTTGTAGCCAGCCCATCTGACCGATCAAGCATCGTGTACGCCATATATAGAATATTGGGAATTCACGCCACCTCAGCGAGTGCTGATACCTGGCCCAGTTCCAGTGAGACTCTTCTATACCATCACCGAAACACCTTGGTTCCCGCCAGTAATTGTAGCTTAGTCTGTTGGCTGAGCAACAAATCAGACACAAAATACGCGCCTTCAGGCTGAGAACGATTTCCCGTTTCGAGGGGTACCCTCCACTGCTGCACGGCAAGGACATTCGGCTCCACGTTCCCCATAAGGTATTGATCTAGGCCCTGGCGGAGAACTGAATTTATTTGATCGAAGCGAAACCGTCAAACATCCCGCATGTTCCAGATTCGCCGTACTACATGACGGAAGCAAATGAATCGGGAACGGGAAGGGCGAAAGAACACCCCCGGCGAAACGCGAAACACAACAATTCTGCCCCGATCGACCAACAAACAACGCATGTGCGGCGCTCGCCACGTATCTGCCCTCAGTACAACAAGCTGCAGCCGTACAACATGAACCGATAACACCTCCCGTAGTTCTATGTGGACGTGTATTGTAGACATCTATTATACCTGGTACCCTGACAATCACTTACCGATGCCCTCGAAACCGCGCGGGAACAGCGATCACAACCCTCCCTAGAGGATACATGATCCCGCTTGCTTGTGGCAAACTCTACTTCGTACTCCTATACACTAGACTACGGCATTGAAATCATAGAGCAGCACGCCCGTGCCGACCATTTCCGCATGAGAAAGATATAGCATCCCTTTGCGGACCCATGCTATTCCACCGAATCCCGGTTGACCTTTTCGATTTTTCTCCGGCTACGGTCTCCATGACGCTCCCTTCCTGCTGCTGTGCACCTGCGCTTGTCGATACGTTACCTACGCAGCACGTCCAGACAGAGCACACACAGTTAAGGATGATACCCGTCAAACCAAAACGGCACGCCATCGCTGCGTCCGGAGGGGGCATGGCTTCCAACGCAAAAATCTAGTCGTGTTTGCACCTGAGCTATGTCCGCTCGTCGTCCAATCCGCCCAAGCTTGCGGGCGACTGCACAAAGGACCAAGAAGAAAGCTTTGACCTCTTATGCCAAGAAGATGTCATAGATTACTGATTAAGTCAGGTTGTAAGTGGAAGAGTCGAATGAATACCTTTCGACACAGGGTGATGCAACAAAAGAGAGGGGAGGATGGCTGACTTCGCCAAGTAACATGTTCTTCTCTTCAGCGCTCGGAATTATTTCTCCTCATGTACAGCTGTCACAACGAGGCGTACGCAACAAGTACGTTAACGAGTTTCGGCAACCGCGGTGTGTTTCCCGTTACCGATACTGAACAAAGAACAAGAGGTCAACATATTTGTTCCCACCTTGGGTCCGTTTCCTAGAAACAAAAAATCTCCTCGCCGTGACCTGATGTCCACGAGTGTATCCACCTTGACAGAAACAAGCCAGAAGAGAAGCCAGCAAGGAAACAACCGAAAGGAGGGCAAGATAATAGAATCAGTCGGCAATCATCAGCTATCCCTCCACGCCAACTCCGGCACCTCATGTTGGCCTATTCCATTGCCTTTAGATATGAAAGGTGGACGTCTAGGGTCTCGCTCGCTAGTCGGTGAGTAAATGTCATCTCGTACAGAGGTACCCTTCGCGAGGTCACGCGTCCTCCACCTACCCCCACACGCTTTTTCCCCTGCTCCCGTAGCTGCGATATCAAAATGAACGAACCATACCTGCACAACACGAACGGCCGACGTCCTGCAAATCTCCGGCCAGAGCTCGCTCATGCTCGGATACCGCAATGCACCGTACACACGCCCGTTACCCCCGGCCTGGACGAAAGCAAGGGGTAGTGCCACCAAAGGACGGTTCGGGGTGATCGTGTGTGTGTGAGCCACGAAAGGTTGATGAACGTTGTCGTTCTTGCAGCAATCACTCGCACGACGGAGGTGCTCAAACAATTCGAGTTCCTCATTCGTGTCACGTCAACAACTGTACACCGGAGAAGCGCTTGGTACTTTTCGTTCAGCGTTGGTCCTGGCGAGGGACGAGTGAACACACCTCATCTGCCACGACCGGGCCGTTGCCATCGCACTTTCTGAAAACAACCGAACAAGCGCGCCTCTAATTGCAGCTAAGTCTTGCCTGGAGCGGTCCGACCACGCTTTCCGCTGTGTGTTCAGAGTTGACCGAGAACTGGACCCTAGCAGTCAGCATCCGTAACGGTTGCCCCGTGTGTCCCAGACCCGTGAACGCGAGGTACTGCTCCTCGTCGCTGCAGGGCACGGAAAAGACTGAGGCGAAAGGGGAGTCCTTCGCCAGATTGTCTGGCTGGTACGAACGGCCGTCGAAGTCGAACTCCTGGGCACGGGAGGGGGCTTATCGTCGTGAGCGTTGGCAAATGCTTTGCACATGTTGGATCAATGCTAAGCAATATACTAGGGAAACTCGAGAAAAACTAGTTCTAGAAAAGCTAGATCTGTTGTGAAACAAGGCCGCCGTGGTCGTCCTTTTCCTGCAAGGATTTGGCTGGCGTCGAGATTGGATGGCTCCAAGCCGTCGACACGAACATGGACCAGGTCGCATCAGGCAGAACGACTCGCTTCGGGAGGCGATAGGTTCCACTGTGGGCAGCCCGAACAAAGTCATGGTGGCAACGGATCCGTCAACCTGTTGAGTTGATCGAGGTGCAGCCATCAATTGGGTGCATTTGTACGTCTGGCTGCAGACCTCACCCATCCGCTCGACTCCAAAGCCAGGTTGCGGAGCCGCAGCAACATGATGGTCTCCAACAGTGGAGGAAAGGTAAAGTACGCTTCGTCTTTGCCGATCAAAACCCCACACATAGTCATCTAACCGACCAGGCCCCGTGCGTCTTCCAAGAAAGAAGAACCAGTATTAGAGCGCGGCAAACTTGGACGGAAGTACAACGTTTCGTCTCACTTACACCGCAAACCTGTTTTCGCCTCGACGTCCTCACCTCCCGTAGAGACTCCACCGTTATCACGTTGATCGCACTCTCCGCTCTTCGTTCCGATGGACCCTTCTCCCGCTCGCCCGTTTCCCTTGCGGAGGCTGCAACGGCTGCCCCTTTATCGCCTAATCCGTTGCCATATCCCCTCGGTGCCGCCGAGGCGTCACTCCGTACCCCTCCCTCGCCTATATCAAACTTCATCGCTATGTCGTGGTCCTTATCACGCCCGCTCCAAGGAGCTCGATGGGTCTGTTCTGGCCGGTTCCTATTGGGGAGCAATAGTCTGAGATCGCTTTCGGACGTCGAACCCTTCAAACCTTCCGCAGATCGTGTGCGACGTGCCGTCGGAGGCGCCTGAACCGTCAGCGGCGAAACGGCCGCTTTGGTCAGCGCCGGACCAGCGACGCGTTCAAGGGCGGTGTCCGAAGCTCGTCGACGGAAAGGAGACCGAGGTGGCGCTACGATGAGGGGCGAGAGGTTGTTGCTCCCTCCCCCCTCCCACAAGCTTGCCAATTCGTCTCTCGCATCGTTTCCCATTTTTAGGTTCCACCCGGATTCGGCTTCGTCGGCGGCATGCCCCTGGTCGATGGTGACGGTGCTGCTCTTGAGAGCACTAGGCCCGCCACGACTTTCGCGGTCCTCCTCCGCGACTCCTTTGCCACCATTTGTCTCGTTGGCAGGGACCCACCTCGAGAGATCCATGCACCTGGTTTTTCGTGGCGTATTGATGGCGTCACCGACAACAGGCACCTCAGCGTATGAGTGGTTTCTCTTAGGACCTGGTGCCATGATAAATATGAGGGGGGCACTCTTAGGCGGTGTACGTGTAGGACCGTAGGATTTAAGGGGTCGCCGCTAGATGGTGCGGCAAAGCCCCTGTCATTCAGGAGAGTTGCGTCGGACACAGTGCGCTCTTGATTTGTCGCTCAATTAAAGAACACGTCTTACGCCAACGGGCGGTAGTTCTTGCTGCACACGGGCAGCCCGGAGAGACTGTTAGAACACACGCTTGGACGGCACTATCTGTCATTCCGCAACGAGTCCAAACCCCGTACAAAGTCACACCTGACGTCTCATGTCCTTCGCCGAGCTTCATATAAAAAGAGCGAAGCTGTGTGGAGCACCATTTATCAGTGCAGGTGTACAGGTGACAGCAGGGATGGGACACTTCTGTTGAGTGCCAGACATATGGGCTATGACCCCGCAACCGCGACACCACAGGCTCCCGAAAAAAAACGCCCGCGAGACAGACAGCGGCCACATGTAGCCTGCTAAGTCAATAGGGTTCTCAGGGGTCCGGCTAGATCAAAACACCTTCAAGGTTCGAATGCACAACATACTAGTCCACCCATCGTACGGTGTTCGTGAGCTGTGATCTATGACGCCTACAACAACGCTTTCCACCGCGCCGTTGTTGACGTTTTGGAGCAACCTTTCCCCACACTCGGTCCGGGGCTTTCGGTATGACAAGGCTTTCTGTGGTCGCACACGCGAAAACGAGAGTGCAACCATATTCAGCATACAACCGGGCTACCCAAGCGGGCTGGAAAACTGCTGAGATCAGCGAAAAAATGTCACCTATGATACCACATTCTGCACTTGACGTGTGTCGCTGTCACCGCCTATCATTCTCTGAACCAGAAACTGCAGCTCCTTCATGTTTGGGTTTTCAGGTTCCATCCGGGAGTATCGGGGGTGATGTCGTCGAAGCTAATTGCATTGTCTACGTCCAACGCTGTGGAAGCAAGGTCGTTCGTTCTCCATGTTCTGAGGGCCTCACCTACTCCACGCTTGGAAGAGGATGCCGCGCCCTTTGAACGGGTTGCCTAAACCGTCGTCCGAGTCATTATCCTCATCCGACAGCAAGCCCTGATCTTCGGCCCTCCCCTGGCCGGCGCCCCCTTCGTCCCTGGGATCGTTAGGGCTAGGCAGATTCGCTTTCGACGCGGACCGCTTTCTCAGCATTGCGTCCGGCGTATCTGCAAGGAGATCCGAACAGAAACACCTCATTTTGTTTCTGCCTCTCGCGACTGTATATATTCCCTGCCAAAGGGATACCGATGGAAGCATCGGGGTACCTCGACTGACGAAGCTCTGACTACCGGAATGACATCTCTGGTCCTTTTAAGGTGCGTACCTTGAGGTCGGAAACACGGTGAATCACAGATCGACTTGAAAGCAAACACCAGGCCGTGCGAGTCGCTTCGGCTCTTGTGAGGAAGCGAAGCCTGTTGCACAACGTGACCAACACCACTAGCCCCGAGAGAAAGGGGGGAAGGGAAACAAAACAAACAATCATGAAATTTACACCTGCATCCTCCATCATAAACCCGACCAATGCTGTTAGCACTATCGAGCCACACTTTTACCTGGGCTCCTGTTGACGTTGGCGAAAATGCAGCTTCTCTCGTCCCCCTTAGCCGCCGCTTTCATCGACTTCGGCTGTCGACCACGCCGCAAAGAAACCGGGTGCACTACCACCGACTCCCCCTTGAGGAGACTGCGCAAGAGCAACGCGGGCCGATCTGCCGGCTGCGGCCCGGAAAACCGTACCTCGACGACCACACTCCTCGTGTCCGAGCTATTACTTTCCGAGTCACCTTTCGTGGTTGTCTTGCTGTCGGTCTCGTCAATCAGTCCACTTTTGTTTCTCCTACCGACTGGCCCTCTGGGCGAGGCCGGCCTGACCGTCAGTCGCGTAGTCGCCGTGTACGTGTCCGTGAAGGTGGCCAAGGCGGCTTCTTGTTGAGCTGTGCTTTTTTATTAAACGACCAAGCGCGGTTTTTTGTGGCAAGGTTAGATTTTGCGCCCCCTCGAGAAGTGCCTAGGCCGGTGCTGCGCTCGATGCGATTCTCCTGTGATCATTGCTCATTGACGACAGTGTTGGCTTCGAAGAGAAAGCGATCTGACACACCCAAAACAAGAGGTGACACTACACTACGTACCGACGGTCCTTCTTGGACGGCGCGGGTTTGGCGAAATAAGCGGTAACAAACGATACAAGCGAGAATGTGTGTTCCGCGCGTGTACGATGGGTGTATCGCTTGGCCAGAGGAGATGCAACAATTCTGAGGCAAGCTATGCGAATCACAGCCAAATGACGTTCGTCTACGTGTACGCCTGGGGCAAGGTGGGCGGGTCGGAGTTGTGCTTGTCCCAGAGACTACCTGTTGACACAGGATGAATGGCCACCGTTTTTTTCGACCAGTCCAACCGATAAGTTTGTCAAGAAAAACCGTTCACACAGCAGAGAGACAAAAGGTGGTTGCACCCCTTGCGCGATACACATGGCTTTAGTACGCGCTACAGGAGGTGGGCGCCGGAGAGTCAGTAGACGTCAACATGCTGTATGTGTCGATTCGAGTCTTTCGGGCGAGATCCTTGTCGGGGTGCATAGCCATGGGGTAGATGCTTCATTGCCCACAGGATGGCAGCAACTATCAATCTGGACGCAACTATTCCGGCTTCACGATGGGTCCCACTTTTGTCAGGCCCTACCCTGCAGCAGCACAGCAGCCGTCGATGTCCTGTGCCGATTCGATTATGGTAGAGGGCTAGCCCAGCTGATTGGCATGTCTCCCCCCGCACACAGCGATTCTCTCTCAGAAGAGTTATTTTCGTTCAACATTTGCGGCGGAAAATAACTATTATCACTTATTACGGGCGTGAGGAATCGGGATGGCCGGCAAGAGTACTACGAAGTACAAGGTACAAGTAACATGTAGTCTTCTGTGTATTTTTTTTTTTCTTCCATTATTGGACTCTGTCGTCTGCCCCTCTGGCCCCTATCCTCCACTTCTACCAGCTAGACGACCCAACCGGGGTCACATAGGAGGGGGGGGGCTGGACCCCTTCCTGCGCTTGATAATATTTTGTTCCAAATAAAAATGTACCACAACAGGAACGGGGGTTCCAGTCGGTTTCAATCCACTTACTGAAAAGACTTCACATCACTTTCGACTCACGTTATATCTCGAACGGGTAGTCTTTCTTTGAGGTTATTTTACTTTGTTAAAAAAACAAACCAAAGCGGCTGCCGTTGAACTTCCTCCGTGACCCAGCTGATACATGACCCGCCCAAAGGTGTGTAGGTCTACACTACCCCCAAAATACATCCTTCTAATAACAGTACTAGGTTGCAGAAAAATATGGGACACAAATCACACCCCTCGACTACATACAGCAGGAGCACCGAGAGCCATTATTCGCGGTAGACTACGTAGGATTGGTCCTGTGCTACAGCAGTACAGGTTTACGGACAACTCTATTACGGTAACGTCCAAAACGTACACCAGTCTACAATACAGCAGTAACAAACAAAATGTATTGTATAGACATACCTACAATTACCTATTCGGATCTCTACGTACAAGGAGATCCACCTAAAGCTCCTCACGCAAATGCTTTCACAGTAAATCAAAGCCGGTGTGTGTTCTGCTGGGTTCACCCTACACAGCGCGCCGCCTACGGCCTCGAGATTCCCCCGGGGCGCTGAGCTACGGCTGCTCAAAGCTGTATTGCGGGGGGTCGCCCGTTCATTTAACAAGACAGTCTTTTCGGTTCTTCCGAGGGGGTGCTGGAAACGTACATATTTCTTTGCGCTCAGCGACGCTATGATATGCGCAGCTCTCCTTTGGTGTGTCTCATCTTGGGGAGGTTTGGGGTTCGATGCGCCACCTAAGGCCTCGATCTTAGACGTCGCGGCGGAGTTGCGTCCGTTTGAAGTCGTCAGCGCAAGTTTCCGGTGACGTCACCAGTACTAATTGCTAGACGCGGGTTCCGACTCTTGCGAGGAGACGCTCTTTGTCGTGCAGTCGAGCGTAGTATGCCCATACGAACACTTTGTCGGAAAAATTGCTCGTGGCGTGCTGCCCCCAATCCTGCGGGTTCATCGCACCCATGTTTGGGCGTCGGAGTCAACATACAGGTCCAGTTTTTCTGTGGTGAAATTTGTGTGTGTGAATGGATCTTCCGTGACGGAGTCGGCGCTGAACGGCGGAGCTTCTTTTTTGTTTGTTTTTGAGATGGCCACGCTAGAAGCAATATGAGGATTTCTTCCCTTTCTTTGTATCGAGGCAGCACTTCGACGGTGACCGTGCTCGCCCGGTGGTGGGTTGTCTTTCAGAGTCAGTACACCCGCTTTGGTCTTCATGTTGTATCTTCATATTCAGATGTCAGATGTTGCATTTGGGCGTCACAATGGATCTTCGCTGTGAATGTCTCATAAATTGGATAAGTGAATTTTGAAAATTGTTGATATCTCGGGATATTTATTTGTGATACAGCAGATACTTTCAACCGGCTTGATGGTGATAAGATGGTAAAACCGTCTTTGCAATCGGGTGCGTTCATGACAACAACGCCGTCGCATGTATTCAACAATTTGTACATAATGACTACAACGTCCCAGCGTATTTGGGTTTTCACGCATGTCTCGGTGAAACCATGCTGAAGCTGTACTTCAGAGACGCAAGGAAATTTTCATTTGCCGGGAAAGCTCAAACCGGAGCCACACGCGTCGACATCTGGATGTACTGCGTGGAACTGAGTGTCTGCTCGAAACATTGCTTTCATATCTAAGTGTCAGCCTGCTTCAAATGTGACGTCTGTTGCGACAGCGAAAATTTTGGTTCTTCGTGGTGTCGAGTGTCTGTTCGGGGGCGGTGTAAATGTTTCGGTGCAATTATCGTGACGCGCCCCCCTGTATTTGATTGTTGACGGTTGTCCGTGTAGTTGCCCGGGGGGTCGCACACCCACCCCCCGACGACCACTTCCTTTCACCTCCGCTGCAAACAACAGTTCGTAACACGAGGTGTAGTAATAATGTTCTCTAGGTCTCCCGCTGAGAAAGCCAAATGCTCCTCCTCATCCTCGGAGCGAAAGTTTCTGGCGGGCAACCCTGGCGTTGCCCCAGCAACTACTGCGGCGCCGGACACCTCGGTCCCCAGGAACAAGGGCGGCAGCTTTGCGCCGTGTGACCAGAAGGACTCCCAATACCCCTAGACCTGCCAAGTGTCCTGCACGATACTAACCGTGCGCGGTTCCTACCCTGCCATCTGTGAGCTGTGCCTTGCCACCGTTGGTGGAACTCCGTCTCTCGGGGTGCTTTCGGGAAAGAAGAACGCTCAGGGCAGCGACGGTAAGCCAATCGTTATTTCTGTTCCGTTGTTGCAGCTGTACAATAAACTGTGCGCTAACCCGTGTCGGCTGAAAGCGATATTGTCATCTGCATGTACTCCTCACAAATCCTGCTCGCTAATCCCGGTATATTTTGACATCATGAGCCTCTGGCAGTCCATACTACATATTTTGCTCATATTGACAGCGATGTTCTGCGACCTTCATATAGAGTGGCTCAATTTACACGCCGTGTGGACGCTCTGCGCCGGAGCAAAGACCTCAGACGGACAAAAGTACAAGAACGCCACGCTCGCCAGCGGCGACATCGTTGGCGTTATGTTTTTCCGCTTGCGTTGTAGGGAATGCACAACTCTTTTGGGAGGTGCCATCAGTGATTTTTTTATCCGGTCTGTCTCGAAACCCCTCGGAGTCCTCAACTCCAATCCTTACCTATAACGTCGACCAACAGGATACGTGCAACTCCTCCAAACAATTAAACCCAAAAAAATCACCGAGTCGATTCGGAAGACCTCTAATCCATCAACGTGATGCCTACCCGTGCCGACTACAGCGCGAGTGCAAGAAAGTGCTCCAACCAGGAGACCAACGTCCTGGACATCAACGACGGGTGCACCGGCGTCACTGAAGAAGGAGCCTACGTTGTGAAGGACTGGAACAAGTCTCCGCCGACAATGACACAACTCAATTCATAGAATTTGCCCAAGTCAGTCGCGCCAACGATGGACCAGTATTGGCGACGATGTATCAGCTCCAGAAATTGCTGCTTTAGTTTACGCCTCAAACGCAGAAAACCCCGGCCCACGTACAGTCGTCACATATCCAAGAAATCGAGTTTCAAAAAAGAGGGTATCCTCACGCACACGTCCTTCTAACGTTCAAAAATGAAGGCCCAGACAAGTATAACCAAATTGACGAGTGGGTATGGGCCCAACTTCCGAGCGCAGACCTTGCAGGTGGCAAACTCCGGGACAAAGTGAAAAAATACATGGTGCGCAAGCCTTGCGGAGCCCACAACGCAAACTCGCCGTGTATCGAGACAAACCGAGACACAAACACAAAACATTGCAGTTTACACTACCCTCAACCGTTTCAAAGCACAGCAACCATCAACGACCGTACAGGACGCACAGAATACAAACGTGTAGACAGTGGCGACAATCCCACCACACGTGCAAAAGTTGACGAGAAGTGACAAGACGTTTGGATCGTAATCAGTGGATAGTCCCGTACAACCCGCACTTATTATTGATGTTTGATTGTCACATATGTGTCGACGTTGTTACTGCAACCGCATACGAAAAATACCTCTCCAAGTATGTACACAAAGGTGCTGATTATGCTAAAACAAGGATCCAACGCATCACAAGCGAAATCGAACAATACCGAAAAACTAGATGCATATCTGCAGCCGAAGCCACGTGGAGACTCCTCGGATTTCAAATGGTCAACAGATTTCCAGCGGTAACAAAAGTGCACGCTCACGTAGAAGGTGAACCATATATCACTTATACCGATGATGCCACGCCTGAAATGCGCCTTGAAATTGCTGAGAACTCTCCCTCTCCCCTGATGATATATTTTAAACGCCCGTCGAATGCCACCTTCACCCCGCTAACCCTGTTAAGACTACTACGAACAATACACCGTGACAAAACCGAAAAAAGACCAACCAAAGCCAACCTCCGAACCTCCCGGCATGTTCTTACACTACTATGGCAATGAAGTGTCGCGCAGAACTGAGCATACCCAGCTTGTGTGTCGCATCGGCTTCCAAAGTCCGGCCATTGGAGACTAATTCTACCTACGGCTATTATTGCACACCATGCCGGGTAGGTCTTTCACCGACCTCCTCCTAGTGCCTCGACAAGATTCATCGCCCTTTCAACATGCGAATTTCCATGACGCCGCTAGAGCTAGAGGATTAGTTACTGGTGACGAAGAATACACCATTTGCATGCAAGAGGCTGCCTCTTTCCAGGTTGCAAGCCATCCTCGAGCACTATTCGTGACCCTTATTTTAGACGGCGCTTCCGCACCAAAACTGTGGTCTGAGTTTCAACCCAATGTTATCGAACAATTCTATCTCATCATGACACAAGAAAAGTCTATACAAGAAGCCCTTAGGGAAATCGATTTTAAGCTTCAGTT